ATCATCTATTGCCTGTGTTTTTGTTGATGTAGCCAAGTGCCTTGGGTTGGAGTTTTCCTTCTAATTTTAAATTTTCTCTTTAAGGGCCCCAAATATTCTCCTAAAGTTATTTTTAGGTCGTTTTTTTCTGCTTAATCTATGTTTGGTTGTTCAAGTCTTGCTTTTGGGGCCACTAATTTTTATTGGTGCCGTGTTGCTCTTTGTGGTGTTGTGTGTGTCCTTACCTTGTCTACCCATCCTTACCTCTGGTTGGTGTAGTTGAGGCTGTCTGTTTCTCTGGTGGTCAATCTTCCAGGTGCCATGAATCCAAGGCTCAGATGGTTGCTCCTTGTGGTGCAGTCAGGGCCACAGTCCCAGTCCCTCTGTGTTCCTGTAGGTCACTCAGTGCTCCAAACACTAGTTTCTTTTGCCAAGTACTTGGAATGCTATGTACCACTTTCTGTGTTCACAAACATCCTCCTTACTCATCACCATGCCCCCATGAAGTGGTTATTATCATCATTATTATTATTATTATTATTATTATTATTATTATTATTATTAACTATTATTATTTCCATTTGGCAGAGGCAGGACATGGACTCTTGCTTGCTATTAACCAATATTCCAGGAACCTCTCAGCTAATCAATGACATGCTAGAAGCAAACATTTACAGTTCTTACCAGTATCTCAATCTGAACATGAACGTGATGAATATTGTCCTTATGGCTCAAATATGTTGAGAATGTATTAATTTTATTTTTAGAATTATGTAAATAAAAAACTCTTCAAAGTGGAACCTCTACAATTAAAGGCCATTATAGGCTAACACTAAAGCTTAAGGGCTTCCATTGTTCGTGAATGTGGGCTTTATAGAGTTTGTGTATACGGTGGAGATTGAGAATCCATTGTTATCCCATAGCATCTCCCGACATTTGCTTAGAATGAAGACTGTATGTAAGTGTAGCCCCTTCCTCTTTATCCTGTTTAAGTTGTTAGCTTGTTCACTATATAGAAAGCATTGCTTCTCATCTGAAGCTTTACTTTATTTGCTATCACAAGTTATAGAAAAGAATGTAATCTTTACCAAAAGGAGAAAAGTGGGTTGTGGGATCCGCTCCATTCTGTTTTCTAATCCGCTCTCTCCTTTGACCTTCCAGTGACTTTATTCTTGTGGGTCGATCCACGGCTTCTCCCTTTCAGCTTCTCCAGGACCTAACTACGGTCTTCTCTTGTTAATTAAAAAGCAACTTTTGTCCACTCTTCAAAACTTAATTTAAATTTCACTCTTCTCATGAAACTTCAAAATCCCAGTTGTAACTGATCTCCTCACTTCTACTCATAGAGAATGTTTTTGTGTTATAACAACTGTTCTGATTTGCATTTCACTGTGATTATTTTCACAGAATATTTCTCTTACCCATTCTAAGTTACCTCATGATCGAGACTGTCATTGTGGTCAGTAGAGGGTCAAGCTCGTGTACTTAATGATGCAAGCATCCATACTTGCTTGTCAAACGTTGAATAAACAATAGTGAGTGAATAGGACCCAAGTCTACTCCTGTCTCACCTTGAACTGATGGAAGGCTGCACATGTGAACATGACTTGTGTTACAGAACAACAGGAAAATCAGTGTCTAAAAGAAACATTGTCACTAGCACTGATTTGCTTGGCAAAAAGAAAGATTGATAAAAATATAGCATTTGTCCTATATTTTCCCACAGAGTTGACTTTTATTAATAAAAATAATTATTATTTAGTAATAATAATTAATAATGATAATCTGCTCATCTGCTTGCTTCCCTGAATTGCCACAAATCTATTCAAACTGGTCACAGATAAATATTTTTATAATCGTTTTTGTTTCACAATAATTTTGAGTCACTTGTGAGAAAAATCTATGGTAAAATAGTAATTTAATTGGTCTGTGGAAAGAATGAATCAGCACCAAAAGTTTAGCCTGAGTTGGTGGAGGATACAGTGTAAGCAAACAAATCATTAGCTCCCACACCATTGCTCCAGAGCTCCTAAAATCGGTTGTTTCATGGCAGCCACAGCAGCAGGGATTGCCTGCCAGCCACTCAGTTCTCAGCCACAGGGAGAATAGGTCTGAGCCCAGGGGGGCTGGGAACACCCTTTTTTAAATGTATAACTTGATGTAAAGATCCCAAATTAGGTATATTTTACATTTTAAAATAAGTCTGCTTTTATACATAAAAACTAATGACAATAAAACATCCAAATAATGTTTTTGTTCACATCCAATAGGGGGTTCTTTTCTTTCAAGTTGGATCCCCATATAAATGTAGGTTTCCCATATGGACTGAAGGAGACAAAGAGCAAAGGATGTCCATTGGAAGACATGTGGTATCAGTGATGGAAATCATTATAGTCCAGTGTGGGCCATTGATTCTGGAAGCCTAACTCCTAAATCAAGCCTGCATGCAGCCACTTAGCATACAGGGCTTTTGCTTTTGCTCTCATCACTGTCCAGACCCCTTCAGTTGCAGAGCTCCCCTCTGTGTCTGTTCAGAGACACATGCTCCCTCAGGTCATCTCTAGCTGCCATGGGCTTACACATCTAGATATTGCTGGAACTTCTTATAACATGAAACTTTGATTTGGAATGAGTAGGAGGTACTGTGGTTTGGTGGAACAATCCATGCACCTCTGTCTCTAGCAAGCTCCCAGTCCTCTCAGAGCTGCCAGCCTAGGAAACTGAGAATGGAGTCCCCAGCGCTATAAACCCTGCACTGGATCTGAACGCAGAAGAAAGAATAGAGTACACTTAGGAGAGTTGGGGAGATGTTGTCACCTCCACCCAAATGCTCTTGAGCAGAACTCAGTTACTGGACCCCACACACCTGCAAGGTAGACTTCCTAGTTGGCTCAGGAAGAGAGGGATGTAGAGTTTGGGGAGCACTCAGCAGAACCTACTTCGCCAGGCGAGCTTCCCAGGGCCTGCAGAGAAATTAGCAAGCACAGATGGTCTAGGCAAGATGTCTGTGAACTCGTGTGGTGCAGTCCATCTACACCTGCTTCTCATTGAAAAGAGCCCCTTTAAATACTTTGAGAAAGAAGGGTGTCCCTATTCCCCCATTATACATGAAGAAATGTCATCTTTATGGTGTCAGCTGTTTATAGGTGAGCGTTGCTCTATTGGGCTGTGCTTCTTGTCTCTATTTCCTTTGCTCTGGCTATTATATATGAATTAAGCTCAGCTTTGGCTCTGGCTGGGACAGCAAGGTTCCCGCTGCCATCCCTCCAAAGCAAAACAGATGAAGGTGTATGATAGGCCAGATGGAAAGTATTTTATTTTCCAGCCATTCATGGCTCTCTGCTCCGAATGAGAAATCACCCTCTGGATTTCGAGTTTCCACAGCTGATATCTGTCATGGAGCGGTAATGGCAAGAGTGCCCTGTAAAGCTGCCTCGGGGCTTCTTTTTCTGTTTGTCCCATAAATGTGTTCCGTATTTGTCTGGAACGAAGTTGACATTCAGGGAGTCAGGTGGAAAATTGGTTTGTGAGAATTATGGACACAAATGCCATCAACAACCTTAAGGTATCCAACCTCACCAAGTGCTGAGTCTTCAGTGGCTACTTTAAATGACTGAAGTGTGTTTGCCATCTTCCTTGTGCAGGAGAGAGGAATAGTGCTTGCCCTAGCACTGTTTACTCTGTTGTGGCACAAACACAAAATCTGAATACGAGGGGACGGGGCACAATGAGATAGAGAAAATGAAATGAGAGCCCAGAAGAGGAGGTGAGGCATAGGACCATTTCCACTTACCAGGCTACTGGAAACAGTCACTGTGGCTTGATGACAAGTCTCTCAGATTTATGAATCACCTAGGCTCTTGCAGGTTTGCTGTCCTTCCAGGCCGGAGAAAGAGAGTTGGTGAACACTCTGAACACTGGCTTTTAGGAATTTATGAGCATCTTTAGGCACTCTGATGATATCTCAGCAAGATGGAGTCTGCACTGCTGCCTGAGGGTTGCAAGCCAGCTGCATTCCAGATCCTAAACAAATGGGCTCTGAATTTGTCTGTCATTCCCAGCTGTCTGAGCACCTGACTAATCCTCAGTGAATGTGGGCTGGGTAAGAGAGTGAAGCCGGGCTGAAAGGCTTGTGGACAGCATTTGATTTAATGACTGGGCTAATGAGTAGTGACTGGATTTGGTGCCTTGAGAATCTCACCACATCCTAGTCCTGACCCTGGCTGGACAGCTTGTCTCCTTAGTTTCAGTTCTCACCGTAATAGAATTTGACCACAGGTGGGATGCACAGTCTGGAGAGACGGAGCATAAGACCAAGGCCATGGGTCTGGAAGGATGCCAGACCTCATTTTCCCAGCAGCAGCTGTCTCTGGAGCATCAGTCACGCCTGCTGAGTAAGACTCTCACAGATCTAGGCTAGTTCTCCATAGACCCTTTGCTCGCCCCTAACCTACAGGCCTCCTGCTACTTTTGTGTGTGATGGCGATTGAGCTCTGTGTAATGTACCCCTCCTCTTGGAGCTGAGGTGTAGGGTGGGTGTGTTATGTTGTGGAATATTATTTTAAGGTGTGTTTACTTTTGTTTGTGCTGAGTTGGTTTAACTCTGGGAAGCTGTATTTCTTTGCCTGTCTAAACCACCTGATGGTCTACTAGAGCCGAACAACTAGTAGCAAGGCAGGAGAAAGGATAAGCAGGGCTGGCAGGCAGAGTAAAATAGAAGGAGAAATCTGGGAGAGGAAGAGGAATAAGGTAGAACAAGGGGAGGAGGGCATCAGTGCCAAGCACCCAGCTACACAGCAAGCCATGGAGTAAGAAATAATGAAAGGTATACAGAACTAGAGAAAGGTAAAAGCCCAGAAGCAAAAAGTACTTTAAAGATAAGAAAAGCTGGCAAAAAAAAAAAAAGCCAAACTAAAGCTGGGATTATAAATAATAATAAGCCTACATGTGTGATTTATTTGGGAGCTGAATGGTAGGCCCCCCAAAAGAGAAAAACAACCAACAGCAGTGTCCTCTGGCAGGTTCTCGATGTCCTGTGTTCCCTCTGTCTCTGCAATGGGGTCGCAGTAAGAGCCAACCAGAATCTGATCTGTGACAACCTACTACCCCGGAGGAACCTGCTCCTGCAGACACGGCTAATTAATGATGTCACCAGGTAGGGTCACTGTTGCCATTCCAGATGCCAAGTGTGTCTCTAGGTAGGAAACAGGACGTTGTGGCATTTCAAGCATGATCAGACCATGAACAGGTACACTTGGTATGACTAGGTCCTTGTCCTCCAGCTCCTTTAATGGAGTTTTTTAAAATTACCCTTAAAGTATCTGAGAATGGAAGGTAAGTACATTCTAATGATTGAGGTTTTACTTTAAAAAAAAAAGAATGAACCTTTAGTATTCCTTTATGATACATTCATGTTCTTATATGCCATTTTTCTAAAACATTTTAGTATAATGTATGTCCCACCTTATTACTATACTTACTTACTTTCAAGGACACATGAGCATTTACCTGACTGATGTCTGCGAGGGTCAAGAAAGACCCAACCAAACCTCCAACCCACCTGGTTTCTACATGTGGCCACATGCAACTCATGTGAGCTCACTGAACCAGGCAGGCTTTATGTTCCTCTTCCATTTTCTACTAGGTCCACATCCTGACCCTCAGTAGTGAGGGAAAAACTTCCTTCCAAAGCACAGAGCAACACAGACACCTGGCCACCACTCAGATCTTCCTTGTTACTAAGCATCTTTAACCAGCCTGGGTTGCATGTGTTTGTCTTGAGCATACCCAAGTCCAGGAAGAGTCTCTCTTCAAGTATAATCCAAACATTGGGAAGGCTAAGTTGTCTGTCCCACAGTCTTAAGTTGTCTGACTCACACTTTTTTCCACCTCAACAAGGTTAGTTAATAGTGACTTCTTCCTGCTTTTACGTCTTAATTATGCTTAGGGAACAAGAACTATTGGTTTGAAATTGTTTGTACTTAAAAAGCCCGTGTACGAGAAGATGGAAGTCATGTAAATTATTTCTCCTTCTTATAGACAGACATAAAGGTTGGTGCTCACACAACCCTTATAACATTCACAGAACTGTTGCCCATGGTTGCCATTCCATAGATGTGTTGCCTTGAACTGAATATTTTAAAAGACACATTTATATCTTATAAGAAGTTACTGTTGTCCCCATAGTGCCCCCTTGGCCAGTTGCTAAAGGCTGTACAATAACAAAATAAAATGATTAAAATGCTCTGGCCCAAGTTTAATTGGGCCAGTGCCTCCTCTTGTGTCTGGTTCAGTTTGTTCTTTTAGTTGTTTGCTCTCTGCAGAAGCAGCCTGTCCCATGTGTCATTTCAGTATCCGGCCAAACATCTTCCTGGGAGTGGCTGAAGGCTCGCCACAGTACAAGAAGTGGTACTTTGAGTTGATTATCGACCAGGTGGACCCTTTCCTAACTGCAGAGCCCACGCATCTGCGAGTGGGCTGGGCCTCCTCCTCTGGCTATGCCCCCTACCCTGGAGGTGGAGAAGGATGGGGAGGCAATGGTGTCGGCGATGACCTGTACTCCTATGGCTTTGACGGACTTCATCTTTGGTCAGGTGAGTACCTTGTGAAGGCTTCCACCCTCTATTCTACTGTTGCAAATAATTGAGTCTTACAGAATACACATTGAGTTGAAATAATAGAAATGCTTAAATCCCATGAGATTGTTTGGTAGGAAGAGCAACAGGTTTAAATAAGCTTCATTTGTAGCTTTATTCTAAGAGTTTCTCACTATGTCACCCAATACAGACCACTTAACTTAACGTCACTGTTACAATTTAAATGTCAACTGCTCCTCACAGGTTCATCTGTTTGAATACCTGATCACCAGCTGCTGACACTTTTTTGGAAAGTTGTGATACTGTGAGGAGGTGGCACCTAGCTGGAGGAAGTAGGTCACTGGAGTCAAACCTTGAGGTTTATAGTCAAGCTCTAATTCCTGTCCTCTCTCCAGTTTCTGGTGCACTAATGTATTAACAAGTACCTGCCATTCCTTCCTATTTGCACTGATCCGCCCACCATCATTTCTCCCCTGCTAAGATGGCTATGAACAAACATAAGTCCTTCCTTCCTTTCTTGTAGCCATTTGATCACAGCCATAAGAAAGGTATCTAACACACTTAGTGTCTATCTCTGTCTGTCTTTATTGCAAATAGGGTTGTTTGGGTTTTATGAATAGCCACATAGGCAATACTCAGCTTTACTTACTGGGCGGTGAGCTACATGCTTTAATGTCAGAATGACCTTTAAGGTAGCAAATACTGAACTCACGTTACAGATACAGAGACTGATGCACTAAGGCACCCTGGGAAGTCTCCTGATGGCCATGATTTCAACACTGCTTCTTGTTTCATGTTAAGACTGTTAATAGCTGTAGGTCAGTATTAATCTCAAAAGGAATTCAAGACTTTTTTTAAAGAGATAAATACTGATGATTTTCCCATATCTACATATGGCTCACGAGTATGAAGGATGGATTTGTTTCTGCCTGGGTGAAAAATCTAAGGTTTTCACCCTAAACAAGTACCACACCTCTCCTACTTGTCCAAATCATGCATTGTCTATATTTCCTTAAGAATCAGCAGTTGGTGATAGCACATGCCTGATAAAAATGTCTCACAGAAGCACAGTGAGCATGCTTCTTATAGAGGAGCCGTGATGCAGTCTTCCTTAATTTCAGCATGAAAGACACATTTCTCTACAAGATGAAACTATGTATTGAAGTTTCTTGTGTAACTGAGAACTGTATACCCAGCACCTTCTCCTCCTTCCCCTCAACCAGTGGTTCTCAGCTTGCCTACTGCTGTGACCCTTTAAGACAGTTCCTCATGTTGTGTGACCCCAACCATAAAATTATTTTCATTGCTACTTCATAACTGTAAGTTTGCTACTCTTATGAATCATAATGTAAGGATCTGTGTTTTCAGTGGTCTTAGACAATTGCTGTGAAAGAATCTTTGACCCCTCCCCAAAGGGGTCACGACCCACAGGTTGAGAACTACCATAAAGACAATACCATAACTGCTTGATATCAATAATCACTGTCACCTGAGATTCTGATGGCATGTTTCTTGAAGTAGTTATTATTTTTTAATTTGTTAAGATGAAATTTCTCATTATTTCTGCTGTTTGCATGCAGTTTGAAAGTTTTAGGGCTATTGTACACATGTACTCATATGTACATTTTATGTATCCTGGACCATTGAGAGGGATGGGGACAATACAAAAGTCTACTCGGGTTCTACGTGCTCCAAGCGACAATGTGTAACTGACAAACATGATGAAAAATGTCAGGAGGGGGAACTAAGCAGAAAGAAATTTGTCTTTCTCTCGTTCGCCTTCCCTAGTTCCCCACAGAAGATGTCTCTTTCCTTCCTCATTCTCCAAGATCTGCTGTGGGATCACTGAGTCTGAGGGTGCATGGTAGGAGCCTTTAGCTTGGGTTGTGTCCACATACTACACACTATTTCCGGGAAGTGAGAATGACTGTGAGTAGGAACGGAAGGATGCTCACACATATCAGCAACTCCTGGGATGGCAGGATGAAGTCTGTGAGTGACGGAAAGAGCTGCACTTGGGAGCCATTTCCACACTGACCACTAAATGGCCACCATCTTATCACCCCAAGTCTTCGTGCTCAGAGGAAACCAGACCTTACATACCTGCAGAGGACTCTGCATAGAGACTGCGAGAACATGAGTCACAGAGTGGATGAAGCATATCGGACTCTGGTTTCAAAGGCAAATGAGTCATTCTCAAAGGAAAAGCTTTACTTCATCTTTTTCCATGCTACAGTACGCTTAGGCACTTAGGAAACTCTGGTAGCTATTTGTAGACACTTGGGAATGAAAACGTCAGTGGATCCAGAGGCAAAGAAACTAACCACTGTACATCAAAAAGAGCCACACTTTTGTGTGTTTCAGGACCTAAACATCATAACTGCATTCATTATTCCATAGCTGTTCCTGTTCAGCTCTTCATTGATCCTATTCTATGTCCTATGCGGGCAAGCAAGCTAAGTGATCCAGGTCACACTAATCATCTCTAGTGGGGGCTCTGTTTTGTTGGAGAAGTGAGAACAACTCAGCTTTGCAAAGGCTTATTGTAAGTTTGAGCATTACACACACTTCATGATGTAATACTACTTCATGATGTAATCAAGGGTCTCAATTATAGAGTTGTGTCCAAGGGTCTCAATCCCTTAGTCTCTACCATCAGGTGAAATTTAGAGAAGACAGTGTCCGTGACATTTATACTTTTCCCTCTCCCTCCCTGAAACCCAATGCTTCCTTAAGTCCAGGCTGTATCCTGACTGCTCTAGCCCCACACAGGACACATCTATCTTGTAAGAGGAATTCCCGGTAAATATATCACCTTGTGCTTCAGCTGAAGAAATAAGGAGTCTGTTAATGACTCCCACCAGGACTGCAGGGAATTCGGGGCAGCTGGGGAAGGGAATTACCCGATGAATAAATGGCACGGAAATAACACTCCACTTCTAGGGAAAGATGGAAGATGATGAGGGGGAGATACTGGAAACTAGTCATGACCAAATTTCTGCTTTTTCTCAAGATTGAAATTTGCAGGTTGATTAACTTTCCCGTTATCTGTGTGCATAAATTAAGCCACTGACTGGAACTGATCTGTAACATATTTATTAAGGAACAATCGATGTAGCAGCTGGAAAGAGTTGCAATGCTAACATTTTATCAGTGAAAAGGGTCAAGGGAAGAATAATAGCCTTGCCCACAATTGTTGATTAAGAGGGGGGCACTTGCGAAAGTGCTTACTTTGTAGAGACTGTTTCTTTAATTAGAATAAGACGTAGAAGTTGGACTGCGTGACACATGTCTGTCAACTCAGCTATCAAGAATGCGGAAGGAGAAGACCCTCTTAAACCCAGGGAACCAAACATAGCTGGGCTATATTTTGAAATTGATAGTTGCTGGGGAAGGGAGTTTTCTTCAGCAGAGTGACACTGGCTGTATCAACCACTAAGATTGCTTATCCCTCAGTGCCACCTAGAACTCACAGAGGACTTGAAGGAGAGGGGAAGAGTAGACAGTAAAGCCACAGCTCGACACTGCAAGTTTCACTGTGGTTTATAAGAGGTTTACGAAGACGATGATTCCTGAGAACTTCATGTTTATCTATCAATGTTCTGGGTGCCTTTAAAGTTACTGCCCAAAGTCACATTTCATTGTTCTCCAGTTCCCAAGTCACAGATGTGTTGGGAATTGTTCATCAGTAATATTTTCTGGATGCTAAATAATGTAAAAGGAAACACTTTATTGGTAACACCCATTTTAATGGAAAATCAGAAAGCAAAAGTGAGACAAAACAGAGCAGGTTTTTCTGAGTTTCTTTCATATTTTGTTTAATTTATTTTTTACATACCAATTTATGCTTCTCTCCCTCCTCTCCTCTGGCTCTCCCCTTCCCTTCACCCAACCTCGATCTACTCCTCAGAGGGCAAACTTCCCCTGCGAAGTCAACTAATCCTGTCTCATCACCTTGTTTAGGCAGGACCAAGCCCCCCATCGTGCCTACATTGAGCAAGGTTATCTCTCCATAGAGAATGGCCTCCACAAAGTCAGGTCATGCATTTTTGTAAATGAAAGTTTCTGCCCCACCCAGTCCTGCAGCCGTTCAGTCCCAAAGAAACATAGAGAATTATATTAATTATAAACTGTTTGGCCTATTAGCTCAGGCTTATTATTAACTAGCTCTTACAACTTAAATTAACCCATAATTCTTGTTTGTGTTTAGCCATGTGACTTAATACATTTTCTCAGTGAGACATTCTTATTTTCTTTCCTCTGTGTCTGGACAGTGACTGCGTCTTTGCCTTTCCTCTTCCCAGAATTCTCTTAGTCTGGTTGCCCCACTTATACTTCCTGCCTGGCTACTGGCCAAGCAATGTTTTATTAAACCAATATGAGTGACAAATATTTAGTATATAAAAACATAATTCCACAGCAATGCATTAGAGTTAGATCCAGTGACTATATACATATACATATATATACATACATATATACATATATATATCCCAAGCCACACCATTGTCGCCTGTACTCAGGGGACCTAGTTCAGTCCCATGCAGGTTTCCCAGTTGTCAGTCTGGAGTTAGTGATCTCCCTCTAGTTTGGGTCAGCTGATTCTGTGGGTTTCTATATCGTGGTCTTGACCCCTTTGTTCATAGTATCACTTCTTCATCTCTTCATCTGGAGCTCGGCCCACTGGTTAGTTGTGAAACTCTGCATCTGCTTCCATCTGTTTCTGAAAGGGGGTTCTAGCTTCTTTGGGGTTGTGGACTTAGGCTTGTTATCCTTTGCTTTATACCTGGTATCCACTTAAGAGTGAGTAAATACTATATTTGTCTTTCTGGATCTAGGTTACCTCCCTCACTCATAATAATTTTCTAATTCTGTCCATTCACCATTTTTAAATTGGATTATTTCATAGCTGGATATGTAGTTTCTTGAGTTCTTTGTGTATTTTGGAGATTGACCCTCTGTCAGATTTGGGGTTGGTGAAGATCTTTTCCCCATTCTGTAGGGAGCTGTTTTTCCTTGTTAACCATGTCCTTTGCTTTATAGAAGCTTCTTAACTGTAGGAAGTCTCATTTGTTAATTGTTGTTCTCAGTGTCTGTGCTGCTGGTGTTATATTTAGAAAGTGATATCCTGTGTCAATGTGTTTGAGAGTATTTCCCACTTTCTTTTCTATGAGGTTCAGTATGGATAGATTTATATTGATATCTTTGATCATTTGGACTTGAGTTTTGTGCATGGCAATAGATATGGATCTGTTTGCATTCTCCTATATGTCGATATCCAGTTATACCAATACCATTTGTTGAAAACGCTTTCTTTTTTCCATTTTATATTTTAGCTTCATTGTCAAAAATCAGATGTTCATAGGTGTGTGGGTTAAAATCAGGATCTTTGGTTCAGTTCCATTGGTCCACCTGTCTTTTTTATACTAATAGTAGCTACTTTCATTACTGAAGCTCTAATATAGTGCTTGAAGTCAGGGATAGTGATGCTTCCAGATGTTCCTTTATTGTACAGGGTTGTTTTGGCTAACCTGGGGATTTTGTTTCTCCATATGAAATTTAGTATTGTTCTTTCAAAGTCTGTGAAAAGTTGTGCTGGGATTTTGATGGATATTGCATTGAATCTGTACATTGCTTTTAATAATATTTCCATTTTACTATTTTTTAATCCTACCTATCCAAGAGCATGGGAGGTCTTTCCATTTTTCTGATATCTTCTGCATTTTCATTCTTCAAAGACTTAAAGGTCTTATCATATAGGTCTTTCACTTGTTACCCCCAAGCTATTTTTTGTTGCTGTGGCTATTGTGAAGGGTGATATTTCTCTGATTTCTTTCTCAGTCCATTTATCATCTGTATATATGAAGGATACTGATTTTTTTGAGTTACTCTTGTATCCTGCCACCTTATTGAAAGTATTTATCAACTGTAGGAGTTCCCTGGTAGACTTTCTGTGGTCACTTATGTATACTATCATATCTTCAGCAAATAGTAAAAGTTTGACTTCTTCCTTTCTAATTTGTATCCCCCTTGATCTCTTTTTGTTGTCTTATTACCCTAGCTAGGACTATATTTAATAGATATGGAGAGAGTGGACATCTTTGTCTTGCTCCTGGTTTTAGTAAAATCACTTTGTTTCTCTCCATATAATTTGATGTTGGCTATTGGCTTGCTATATATTGCCTTTATTATGTGAGTGAGAAGTGGGGTTTCATCACTACCCCCTACACTTGAGGAAATGGTGAGAGGTTCAATCCCACTTAAGTCATGAATAGACATCCACAACTGCCATAATCTCATGAATTGTTCTGTCGAGGGGACTCCATTTCACAGCCCTCCTCTGCAACCTATTCTTCCTGTCTCCTTTTTTTCCCCCTTTGGTTTTTTGAGACAGGGTTTCTCTGTAGCTTTGGAGCCTGTCCTGGAACTAGCTTTTGTAGACCAGGCTGGCCTCTAACTCAAAGAGATCCACCTGCCTCTGCCTCCCGAGTGCTGGGATTAAAGGCGTGCACCACCACCACCCGGCTCCTCCTATCTTCTTTAGGACCCTCTTTGTGATGTTCCTTGAGTCTTGCAGGGTCTTGATACGATGTCCTGTTGAGGGCCAGCATTCCAAAATCACTCATTCGCTGCATTGTGGAGTTACATTTTTCTTTTTCTTACTTTTCTACATAATGGTTAATGTTTATAATGAACACACAGTAATTATACAATTAGGAAAAAAGATGTCTTTCTCTTATTCCTGAAACCCTATATTAATTTCAAACTTCTCCCTGTCTGCTCTTCTGTTCCCAGTAGAAACAGAAACCCAAGAGAAGGATGGGAATCAGGATGATAATAACACCGGAAAACAAGATATTTTCTCACTATTTTAGGTCAGAAGTCTTGAATCATTTTGTGAAGAAGAAAAACATTTCATAAGCACTAATGCAGATATAAATGACAATGTGTTTTTTCCTCCTCATCTGAATAAAGCTATTTCAAGCAGTCAGACCTTATTGTGTGGTTTCCTGGCTAGAGGGGATTCAGTCCTCTCTCCTGGCTTTTCCAACAGTGTCCATATCTTTCTGAGAAAGCAGAAGAGAGCAAGACCTTCTCTTGCCTGTGACTAAATGTGTATACACTTACATCCACGACTTCCACTTAGTAAAGGTCATCTGTCCATTACTTCTGGCCCCAGGGTAGTCTTAGCACATGCCCAGAAGACTCACTCCTCATCGTTCTTATTCTTAGTAGCTTTAGAGAGCCTCTGAGACTCAGTTCACATCAAGCATGGTGTCTATCCACTCATCGGCTTAGGAGATAAGTTTCCTCTCTCTTATCTCATGCAGTAATGACTTGCATTTCCACTACGGTAGCATATCCTGAACCCTTCTTATACTGCATGCTTGTTAGGTTTCTCTTCTCCAGTAGAATCCTCTAACTTTGTCTGTCTACCAGATGCATGCCTCCGGGGACCCACAGTTTTATTTCTGTTCTCTACTCACCAGGCCGGATACCCAGAGCTGTGGCCTCCATCAACCAGCATCTGCTGAAGTCAGATGATGTGGTGAGCTGCTGCCTTGACCTTGGAGTACCCAGCATTTCTTTCCGAATCAACGGGCAACCTGTGCAGGGGATGTTTGAGAATTTCAACACAGATGGACTCTTCTTCCCTGTGATGAGCTTTTCAGCTGGTGTCAAGTAAGTGATGGCTGTAATTTCCTGGAAAATAGCTATGACCCCGCTTTAAAACTTCGCCATCACCCTTGTGAGTGGAAGAACCAATAATTTCTTTTAGGGTTTCTTCTCAAAAGCCAAATTTCTTCCAAGAAAGTGATGGCTAAAGGGCAAGAGGCAACCAAACTCATCCCTTCACCTACTTACTACATAGATTCCTCCTATAGGAGCTGTTTTATATACTCAGATAAAATGTATGAGAAATCCTAGGGACAAAAATCAATAGTTATAAGAACAATACATGCTCTTTATGAAAACCTTGAAAGAAATAAATACAAAGATTGCAGTAAAAGTCACTTTTTTTGGTTTTTCTAGACAGGGTTTCTCTGTGTAGCCCTATCTGTCCTGAAACTCACAATGGACCAGGCTGGCCTTAAACTCAGAGATCCATCTGCCTCCACCACTCAGCTCACCTTCAATTCTAATTCTTGGCTATATTCACTGTGAATATTTTGTTATATTCATCTTTTTTGCTGCAAATGTGTGTATACTTTCTAAATTGCAGTCACTGCGAATGTGAAGTATAATTTTTCACTCAGAAATAAGTAATGAGCCTTTTCCTGACTCATTAGGTACCCCCGAAATTATTTTTATGGTCACATAATCTCTCTTTATTTCACTTCCTCATAATATAGCCGTTATTTTACTGTGATGTTTTCGTGCGAATTCTACTTCTATTGCTACAGATAGCATTACTGCAGACGTCCCGGCATATAACTCTTGTTCTGCACTGCTATTTTCTCCCTCTCAGAAAAAGGGGAAATTGTATTATATTTTAAGATCCAAAATTTATAATGATGTGGCCAAGTTGATTTTTAGAAAAAAAATTGCACAAACTGTTAGGAACTTCTTATCAATAATTGCAAAGTCTATGTTTCTTTGAAAACCACAGATTTGTTCAGGATACATTTGGCATCAAATCTAACCTGAAATCAAGATGTAGCAAAGCTGTCATCAATAGAAATTCACCTAGTTTTCAATATTTGGCAGCATAATTCCTATGGCTGTTGGTATGTTTAATGGAAGAGACATTAGTATGTCTGAATATTGGATACTGCTTCTCCTCTGACTGGCGGTTCTGTTTGAGACGTGTGCATGCTACACACAATCTTTCTTTTTTGAATGTTTATGAATTCCAAAGCCCAAATAAAATATCTGAGCCTGTGATATCATTTAAAGTGACACTATTTGGGGAGCTGGGAAGATTGTTAAGTTATGCACGAAAATACTTCCATTCAATACCAAGAACATATAGAAAACTAAGATAAGAGAATGCATGAATTGTAAGATTGGTGCTGAGAGGGGAAGATGACCAGATCCCTGAGGATCACTGGACCAGCCAGCCCAGTGTACTCAGCAAATCCAAGGCCAGTGAGAGACCCTGTCTCAAAAAGAGGCAATGATGCCTAAGGAAAAGCACCTAAGGTTGCCCTCTGACCTCCATTTATTTGTATACACATAAGTATGTGGACAGCACACACATGTGAAAACATAAGCACATCCAAAAAATAAAGCAACATATGAGAATGCCCAACTGATTGAATCCACACTAATTTTATTGTTTCTTTCTCCACCGTACTTTTGCTGGTTTTATGTTCTTCCTTTCTGATAATAATTTTGGATGGTTTTATTGTTAATCAAGTTATATTTAAGACTAATAATCTGTTTTCTATGCCTTTAATATTTTTCCAATTTATAATTTACCTTTTATGCTTAATTTTTGTCCTATTTCCCCCTTTTTAATTTAATGTAAGTCAAAATCATAAGAACCCAAAATAGTACCACTCAAAGATATTATTATTATTTTTTTTATATAGAGTTGGCATTAACTTGGACATGAATATGCATGCATTTTCCTATATCCCACTGCTTACTGTTGTATTCACTCTTCTGCCTCACTCTTTCTTCGTATCAAATGAATGCTGTTTTAACTCTCTTGTCTTCTTACACATGTAAATATCTGTAAGTCAAGACCCCACAAGAAGCCTCTTTCCCAAAACCGTCTCAGCCATTCCATTCTCGAGCTTTGTATTTTAAAGAGCTCACAACTGACTGAGCAGGACCTAGGAGTTACAGTTGCAATCATGCCTGTATCCGTGGATGCCATGGAACAGTGCAGTGGGAGCAAGGGTGACAACGGGAGCCTTGAGAGGAGTGAAAAACAGGCACTGCGCAGCCCCAGGGTAGGACTTTCAGAACAGAACCACTTCATGAAGTGCTGAACAAAGCCAGACGCGTTCATTTATTTTCAAAGGGAGATAAGAACGGATTAGAGCCAAGTCCCTCTAGCAGTCCGGAGGAACTGAGGGTAAGTCACAGTGCACCTCTTCCCAGCTCCAGTCCCTGGGAGCAGAGACACTAACGCAGCAAGCCACACCAGGGTCATGCTAGCCCAGAACCTGCTCTGGAGAAACAGGTGACCCTGAATGGTCAGCGCCTAGAACCACATTTGTCTGGGTGGCTTTTGGCCTCAGTCCATCCTCAACAATTTCCCCGATCTGTTCTTTTTTGACCAGTACCACTCACTGGCTTTAGATTATTTGCAGAGAGAAAGATAACTTACTTCCTAAGATCTCACTTGTGAAAACATTTAGATCTTTATTTTAAAAAATATGTATTTATTAATATTTAATTTAACACTTTTAATAAACATATTTTTGTTAAAATTTTTATTGTTTGAGATTTTCATTTAGGTATATGATGTGCTTTTGATGAAATAAAAGCCTATTCCCTCCCCTCCAACTCCTGCCCATGTTGTATGTATTGTTTTTAAATTACTGAGCCCATTTAGTACTGCTTATATGTGCATGAGTGTAGAGCTATTACTAGATCATGGTTAGCCTTCCAGGAGCCGTGTTCTTGAAGAAAACATGCACTCTCTTTCCCAGCAGTCATCAGTTGCCAATCCTCCTCAGCTAGAAATGTCACTTGCCCCCACTCCCCTATCTTGCTCAGGTATTGAGTCACAGCCACTGTGATACGATAGCACCGTCCTACGCAAGCAGTGCAGTCTCACTGAAGTCACCCATCACCTTTGATTCTTCTAATCTTCCCAGAGCCCCTCCCACCGTGATCCTTGAGCATGTGGAGTATGAGGAGTTGTGTAAATTCAAATTTTCAAAGAGACTGTCTCCTCCAATCTGCTACAATTAATTTTTTCCAAGTATTTTGCATTACATCTACTTTTGCAAACTTCATAATTATTTGTATGTGTGTTTGCTTGTATGACCTGTGTGTTCATGTGTATGTGAATCTGAATGTGAGCACATGCATGCCACAGTGTACAGACGCCAGAGGACAACCTCAGGTGTTATATCAGTCCTCACCTTTCACCTTGTTTGAGACAGGTTCTCTTTTTTTTCTGCTGATTGCTTAGCTAGCCTGCAAGTTTTTACTGATTCCCCCATCTTCCTGTTCTATCTCCTAGTTGGGAAACGCTGGGATTAAAGATGCTTGGGCTTCTAGAGCAGCCTTTAGCAGATGCTGAGATCTAAACTCGGGTCATCAGGCTGGCTCACTTCACACTTCACTCACTGAGCCATCTCCTAGTTTAAAAATTCTTAATCATTATTTCACCCATTCGAACTCCTTCAAAGTAATGAAATAGGGTTTCCATGTCTGTGATTTGTATTTGGTTTGGGTGGACCTTGCTTTGGAATCGTCTCTTAACCAGGAACTTCAGAACAGGTAAAGGCATAGGTCACTGAATGCCATCCATACTTAGAGATATTTCTAGAATCTCATCTCTCTTTCAGCAGATCACGTAGCACACAGTTAACAAAGAAGTAAAGTTACAGGATGAACACTGCTCTGTTCAGTGAGAGAATTTAACAAATTGGAAGAGTTTAGATGTGCTGGCTTCAAGAGCCAACAGCTTAGATCTGGGCACTTTTACTCATAGCACCTGAACAGATGGCGTGCTGAGGAACTGTATCTCGGTGTCACCTGACCCTGTCCCTAAGAACACGGTCAGCACTGGGCAACTTCTGTCTCTGGGTCTCTTGAGAGGGTATGATCACAGAGAGGTAGAAGCCCCATTCCCACATGCATGTTTCTGAAATGCATCATCAGACGGCGTCTTTGCTCCAGGTTAGTGCTGGTCTTGTACTGGTGAGCAGTCAGCTGGCTCTTTTCAGTTATTCAGTGGATGGCTTCAATAAACCGACACTTTTACACCAACTTGTGAAGCGTAGTTTGGTGCTAAAACATGACACTTCGTGTCCTGAGTTAGTCCAGTTATGCAAAGAGAGGCCAGGATATTAACTCTAGGCTAATTAAAATATACTGAAAAGTAGCACACGTAACATATACTTTTTAATATTTAAATTCCCATTTCACACCATATTATTAAAACATGTGCTGGCGTCTATGGTAGTTCTCCAAGAGAGAAGTAAGGTAGTGTGCCCGCCCAGGAAGAAAGTCACATTTCCCAACGCAGGAGCCTTCAGAATTGTTTCCCATATTCATTTTTAATTTGTGTGTAGTTTTTAAATTAGATTTCTCTTCTATAATCCCATTACCTTCCACTCAGTGATCTTTAATGAGGTCATACTCTTGAATTTTTTAAATTATTATTTGTATCATTGCAAATAATGCCATTAATTACACCTGATTAGGATGTCCCTGCCAGCAACCGTGGAAGAGCAAAGTGCACAAAGAGCAAAAATCTTTTTCAATTAGATTTACCCCTCGTGAAGTCAAAGGCCGCACGCGTAATTACTGACAAGATTCACAAATCAATATGTGTTCCCTTCCCTAACTGTTATGAATATACTGCTCTAGTTGCCTTCTCGCTTTGGCCGGTTTGTGGGTAGTGTTACTAGTGCCATAATGTGGTAGTGACAACCCTAGTCAATACAGAATGGAAGATGGGCATGTGTACCTTGGAGCCCATCCAAAACTTCCAATTATTTTGATGCCAAGAAGCTTTTGTAAAAAGATGACATCACCCTCGTCCCTCCCCT